GCAGTGTGAACAATTATTTGTGGATCTGTTGCAATTTGCTCTTCATTTTGTAGCAACAATAACTGTTTGTTTAAAAAAGGAATTCTCATGTTTCAATATCAGGCTAATTAAGCTGTGTACAGATGTCGTGTCGCCTACAGGCTAAGAATGTCTGAATAGCTACTGTTATCGACTTTGTTATCAGAATGGGGAGGATGCATGAGACCCAAAAGCTAATGAATGTGTGACAGCGTGTGGCTCGTATAATCATAGCACATACAAGTTGGCGGCAATCCCCTTTGTACTTTGTTTCCACATGCAGAATTGTTGGTTGGACCTTCTCGAAGGGTTCGTTGCAGTACAGGGGGCTGAGAATGAAATCAGGCGCAGTGATCCATTGACTGGGGTAATAATAGTGAAACGCTTTGCACATGTCCGTAATATTATTATAATAGTAACTATTACTATTTACGAATAAATACGAAACAATGCAGCAAAGAAGGTTCGGGTGATCGTGGCACAGTTAGGATGGTTAGGCTCATCATCAGTTCAGGGCCCTTGCCCCTTCCACACGCAGCCCAGACAGCGAATGGGACTAGTCAAACACACCCAGAACATTTCGGAGAATGTGAAGATTCCCCAACACTGCAGCCTTCTGCATTACCCAGATTGTCAGAAGGGCTGTATTCCTGGTAGCAAACCCGGGTACTCTACCAATGTCAGTCAACGGATTGTTATTATTATGTACAGATTAAAATAAAAAATGTAGCAAAGAGGGTTTCGGTGATCCTGGCACAGTCAGGCTGGTAAGGCTCATCATCAGCTCAGGGCCTGGCCCCCTCTACACGCAGCTCAGACAGCGAATGGGACTTCTCCCAGGATGCGCTGCCTAGTCAAACCTGTCCAGAACTTTTCGGAGAATGTGACGACTCCCCAACACTGCAGCCTTCTGCATTACCCAGATTGTCAGAAGGGCTGTGTTCCTGGTAGCAAATCTGGATACTCTCCAAATATCAGTCAACAGATTGGGAGGAACCAAACCTAGGGCGCTGAAAACAATGGGGAGTCGCACAAGTTGGTACTTGGGATGCAAGTGTGACATTTCGAAAACGAGGTCCGCATATTTGCCATGTTTTTTCCTGAATCTTGTCAATCACGTTTGTGTCAAAAGGGACAGAAAAGTTACGATATAAATGATTGAATTTGATTTATCAAAAAGTTATCAAAAGTTACAAGATCAGGTTTGTTGGCCTGGATACGTCGGAGGCCGTATACGGGCCTATTCCAAACAATTTTTTATTTATTATTTTCCATGACGCCCTCTACATATTCTTGGATGTACCATGGGTGGACCTCTGTGTCAAAACCACAAGCATGGCTCAAACGGTAATAAATGACCGAGGGCACTCCCATCATGTCGCTTTGCATACTGTGTTTATGCCAAAGCTGGGCCCCGCTGACAGTATGTTGGACAGTCTCATTAAATTCATTGCATAACCTACATTTCATATTTACATTTGGATGCAAAATCACACACCGTTTCGAGTGGGAAGTGACTGGTCCTGAGCAACAAACAGAAAACCTTCTGTCTCATTTTTCAGACCAGCCGACGTCATCCAAGCGAAGGACACTGCCGGGTTGCTGATCTCAACACACTGCACATAACTCGGTACAGTGCTCGTTCATATAGCCTCTGCTTGAAGAAATGAGTAAACTGATATGGCATTTCGCTTGGTTGACACTCATGTCTGTACCGTTCAGCAGTACAAAATCAACAACAAAATTAACATTGACATTAAGATAATGGCCCACTTACTTGGCTCGTTTAAGAAACTGTGGATTGCCTTGTTTTCATGAGTCCTGACATGCTTCACAAGAAGATCATTAGACAAGTAAATGTGTGTAAAAGTGCACAATACAGAGCCTCCACGTTAATCAAACCACGCCCTCCCAGTATAATTGGTAAAATATAAGCGATTGAGGGAAGAACGAGGGTGGTGGGATCTATTATTATAATTATTATAATTATTACAAGTATAGAAAGCTCCTTCCGATGTAATGAAATGCGTTCTCTGAAATCTAAACGTAGAGTCGATTGTACGATTACGACTATGTTATGAGTATCTGTTTATGAACCAATAACAAATAGTGATGATACCAGGTGTTAGCGAAAAGGTGAGCGACACCGGTGTCACCTGCCACGAAAACAAGACAATTGTTCACCTGAAACAAACACGGAGTCAAAATAGGGAATTGCATCAACCATAATCATTTTCACTGATGCGTCAAAATTTGGAACTTTTGAAGGCTTTCCTGAGGCCTTGAAGCTTGATCAAACGACTTCAACAGTCCATAACATCAATCCCTGGCATATCTGGTCCAGATTCGATTATTCACAGGCCGCCGTCATATAGCTGTAATATTGCTGAGTGCGGCGGTAAACGACAAACGAATTCAAAATGAAAGAAAATGAAATACATTATATAAATATCGCAGTCTAAATCTGTCCCAACTTTAAGAAATCTAATGCACTATTTTTCAAAATCCAAGAGGCTATTGTTGTAGTAATTCTTTTCAGAACAATATAATGTATATTGATAACCTGGATCTGATCTGTTGCTTTATCTCCCCCCGACCTGCGATCTAATTAACTTGAAATTGACTAGACAGATGAGGAAACCCCTAATATCTTCTTGACACGTCTTCATGCATCAAGTATGAATGAATTAGTAATTAAGGATATTTTTATGGTACTCCAAAGGCGCATATCGGCAGCAAATGCATACTGTCAACGACACATATTGCTGGACTACCACACGTATTCACCCAACTCAATAATGGAACGTTATGTAACACACTTTCTTACTTAACCGTTTTCCTTGATCATGCTATTGTGAATGTAATCTTGACCTTGGCCTTAACTTCTGCTATTATGTGTTCTACCCCGACCTTAAGCTTGAACTGGCAATCATCTGTTCGTGTATGTTACCACGAACTAGAAATCTCCAATCTTTTATCTTCTTGCTCATGCGTTCACACAAACAACTCATCCATAAACGCATCTATCAGGCATGCCCATTGCAATGTAATATTTGTCAGCTATTGACATTGCCTATCGCCAAAAGTGAGGTTACACAAAATTAAGACAAACATCCAATTAAAATAATTTAACCCTCTTAAATCGACGTTAACTACGTTATTACAGAATGCAGAAGGATCAAGGCCAACGAGCAGCAGGACATCAACAGTATTAATGATGTAACTGTGTATTTCATCTGAATCCAAAGGAATCAAAACCATTTGCTTCCCTGCGGGGCGAGGTCTTACGATACTAGCTAAAGGTCATTTACAGATAACTGGCTCTCACCATGAACGGCTTGGGACAGATTTGAGTGAAGGATTACCCTGATGAATGTATTCCTACCGCTACCATTTCCTTTTTTAATGCTTCAAGAGAGGGATTATAGTTTGTTCGAGGGAGGACGCGAGTTGTTATGCATTAAAGCATATAAACAAACACATCTGAACAAGGGTAAACATATGCGTACAGATTAAAATACCATGATCGTTTCAATAGGATTAATTTTGCAAGGGGAACACCGGTTTTGTGACAAACACTTTTACGTTTGGTTTTACGCCGCTTTGAACAGTATTTCGATTTTATCACGGCGTGTCAGCTTGGTAAGGAGGAAAGTCCAAATGACGCTAAAAGCAGGCCTTAGACGTTTAACGTTTTGATGAAAACTACTTAAATAATAGCACGGTACTAAATACTGAAAACAGTTTCATAAATTATAAAACAAACAGTGAATGAGGAAATATTGTTCTATTATCTGACAAAAATATATATCATTGCAAATAAGACATTTTAAAAGCTGGGTATTTTGTTTTGAATAAAGCAATTTGCAATGTGACTGAGTGAATGAGTATGGTTTTATGCAGATTTTTGCAACATTCCAGCAATATCACTCAAGGGACACCAGTAATGAGCTTCCCACATTGTACCCAGGGGGGGAATCGAACCCGAACCACCCGCGTGACAAACTAACACTTTAGTCACTAGCCTACCCTATCATCCTTTCAATATGAGAGTATGCTACAAACGAATTAATGTGAATGCAGATACTTAGCTTCTTCATACAGAAATGCTGTAGTAACGTAACGATGTGAACATACAGTGTCACATGTTACTTCCGTCGTATGTATCGGATATCGAATATGTAGGGGTAGGCGGACGATACTGAATGATTATACTGCTGCTTTACTGTGCGTATGAAGGACGATTTGTGCTTTGTTATTCCTTCAGCCTGTGTAAAGGTTTCATGATGAAGGAAGCGTCTTTATAGGTAACGCAACAACAGTCTTACTCTTGGGACACTTCCCTTGATCAAAGAAAGAACATGATATTGTTGTCGATGTTCAGGTTTTTATCACGAACGTTCTTTCGCTCATTAGACCTTCAAATGGGACCATAAAATTGTGATAGTCATGCTGCAATATCCATTGCACTTGATTGTCTTCGTGTGACTACTTAATAATTATTTAAAATAAAAAGCTTAATACTTTGTTAAACTGCAGTATGCACACATTAAATTTTATGATTCTCGTCCTATTTGTTCCTATTAAAGACTTCAAGGCCAGTTCTTAGTCTTAAACGATTTTCGAATTCCTGTCATAACATATAATTACACACTCCAAGTTTAATCCGAAGAAAGCTATCTTCCAAATTCTCTTAACGGCAAAGTAGAAGAATACTGAATACATTTTGATTTCGTTGTTTTATTTCGATTAAAATCTAATTAGGTTATTACAGATCAATTGTAAATTAAAAACCTTCTACGGATTCCTAAAGGTTGTTCTACATGTAAAATACCAAAGCAAGTCAATAGAGATTCATCGCACATTCTATCATGACACGGCATACAAGTCGTAGAAGGAATACGTCAAATGATGTATACTCAAATATTTGCTACTCAATTAAATACCTGATTTGGAGAAAGGTAAAGCTGGGATGAACTTACCTAACGTCCAGAGCCTCCAGAATGTCCAGATGCACTGACGCTAAAGTCTTGTCAAAGCCAATCTATGCCCAGCCTTCGATCGATTTAGACATGGGCTGAGCAAACTCTGCTCGCGTATGGCCTGGGATCTAAATACTCGAGTGTCACAGGACCGGGGACTTTCCTAGGATTGCTCCATTAACGACCAGTAGATGTGGTTGTTCTTTGGACTCAATTAGTCAGGGGGGGTCTCGACGATTGTGCCATGGTGCCACGTGCAAGTGTATACACGTTGCTACCTTATAACAGGGCGCCAACATGTAATTGTTGCCTTTCTGATTTAAATCAAATTAGTAGCTACAAGAAATTATAATAAACACTAATAGTGTATGGGGCAACTGTGGAAATTGAACTTGATTTGATTTGTAAATCTTTGAAGAGGATACAACCAATTGGGATAGACACACAACAAACGGTTTAGGACTACATAAGGTGTAAGTTTGATCCTTTGTGCAATTATTGTACTTCTAACGATTATTTTAAATGTTTGAACGTATTGAGTATTTTCCAATAATAATAACAATAAAAAATACAATCTTTTTTTCTGATTTGATTAGGAACAGGGACCTATTTTGGGAGAGTAAATGGAATACTACCGTATTCAACGTAATACGCGCCCCGTTCTAATCAACGCCCACGGCGATATTTGCTAATATATTGGCTAGTGAACAATCCAAATCAGCACCCCTTCCGATTGATCAATATACACAAGACTTATTTATTCGTGTATAATACGCACTCGTGTGTTATATATACACCCTTAATCACGGGCAATTAAATTCTGGAAAAATATATCTGTCGTATGTGAACATTTCAGGCTGTCAGCATAAACCACGAAATTTACGATCTTTCAACTCTGTTTTTTCACCAAAATAATATTCTATTAAGAGCCCCATATTTCTAATTTTGAGAGCGCTCTTGGCGCTTATTACGTCAAATACGGTCGAGATCCCAACGCACTTCAATCAGAATTACTCACTGTAAATAGTAGCGTCCTAAGAATACAATTTGCTTTATGTTTCACGTGACCGTCATGATAAAATGGACATATTTATAAATTTCACCTGATAGTTATTCTTTTAAGAAAACGACATCATCATTACCGCCTATGACGGTTATGTTTCAAATGACTTCCTTTCAAATATTGCTTTCAAACTAAGAGACCAGTAATATTTCAATATGAAGGGTGTGGGGGTGAATGGTGGTTTTCGCCGCAACAATCAATACAAAAGCATGGGCCACGTAAATCAGTGGTTGATAGCAGGAGCAACGTTCCACGCCCTCGGCTACGATGACACGCAATGCGCCAAGTCACAGAGCCTGACCACTCGATCCGAAGTTGTTAATCCACTCTGTCGGAATACGTTAGACATAAACAGTCAGACAACGTATGGTGACCACTAAACCTTCCTAAATGAATATTACCACAAAATATGGGTTGCTGCTGACAAACATGAACCTGAATACCTCGGATATAAATATAGATCCTCAGCAACCTATTACTCGTTGTATGACGCGACTACATCCAGTCTCTGACACCATGAGCATCGATCCACGCAATTAGGAAACAATGACAAGCACTCAAGCGAGTCTGACCTATTACTTGTTGTGAGATGTGATTGAAAAGAACGGGTGGTTGGGCTCGGATGACTGCGTGACATTGTTTCCAAATTGCGTGGTGGTGTCAATCCAAGGATAGTCGGGTCCAGCCTAATTATTTACAGACCACCGTCATATATCTCGAATTGTGCGGCACACACACACACACACACACGCACGCAAATACACGCATACATACACTCTCTCACACACACACGTACACACAGGCGCGCGCACAAATGCACAAATGTCCTGTAGAGAGCTATGAAGTGTAGCTGAAAGATCAAGCTGAGGGATATCCGAATGGTGTAACTGCCACGTGGCACCGAGTGGTATGGAATGCAGCAAAATCGCCCGGAAGTACGCTCTTCGGAATAAACGTAGCATGGTCGCGTAGTAATGTTCATTTAACTGTATATATATGCGCCCCTCATTAGGTACATGTAGAATGTGTTTCGGACTTCTTCAATTGGGAGTAATGTCCTTTCACTGAATAAACGACTTCCACATGAAAACTTTCTGATTGAACTGAATGGTATTTGACAGTATTTATTTATTAGTGAGCAATATTTAAGCCATATACAGGCGGCCTCTAATTAATTGTATCTTGAACCAGCAAAGCAATAACTAACAATACGCGCAACGACCCACGTGGCCCGAGGACAGATCAGCAAAGTCCCCTATCCTGAAAATCCAAGTTGCTGTCCTCCAATAAGATTATCGCATTTCTGCAATGCCATAGCTGACTTCAGGTGTTTACGGACGCATTTAGCCCGAAAGATTCATTGGTTAGAGAGAACGATACTATTACGTGTAGTCATGTAAATTCCCCATAAAAGCAAGTCAGTCTCCAAAGCCAGTGGAATATTGCATCAAGAATGAGTGAGCGATGATTCGTTGTTGACGATGCGTATCACATCCCATAGGTTATTGGCATCTGTAATGTATCCTTTAATAGTCAGAATCTCAAATACGAAATATGTCCATGAATGCACCGAATTAAGAGACAGTCAACAATCTACCCATCATGACGAGTAATGTCAGAGCAGTAATTCCTGGTCATGTATTTGGTTGCCAAGTGTTTGAGAGGTGTGCATCTGGAATGAGAAAGTGGCACGCTGACTGTTGTCCACAGAGTCCGACCTATTCCTGCTTCCTCATCAACAGTCTTGCAGTCCAAGCGCCGTGGGGCAGAGAACGAGAGCAGCGCGCCTGATGAGGGGATATCTTTCATAGCTTCCAAATTGTTCAGTCGCTTTCCATTGTGGGAATGTATCCCAGTCTTACTTTCTGCAATTTGCGACTTGCTTCCGAATATGCTTCAATATATTGTCCGACACCAATTGAGTGACCAGTCAAGATATGATTGTCATGGAAATGGCTTGTACACATGTGAATGGTAACTAACTTGGTTGGTTGGTTGGTTTGTTGTTTAACGCCGCACTCAGCAATATTCCAGCTATATGACGGCGGTCTGTAAATAATCGAGTCTGAACCAGACAATCCAGTGATTAATATCATGAGCATCGATCCACGCAATTGGGATCGATGACATGCATCAACCAAGTCACCGAGCCTGACCACCCGATCCCGTTAGTCGCCTTTTACGACAAGCATAGTCACCTTTTACGGCAAGCATTGGTTGCTGAAGAGCTATTCTACCCCGGAATCTTCATGGGGCACAAGAAATGGGCTTCACTCACGAATACAATGTTAATCTAAGCAGCATCCAGCTTTATTCATATGATAAATAAAACCGAAAAGAGGAATTATTGATACTTTCAACATCTTTTGTCTCAGTATCATTATCTGTGAGTTAGTTAAAGGTTAACGTCACATCGGCAATATTTCAGCAATATCGTGAAAAGACAAAATTTGACATTATTAATATATATTTAAACTATATAACATTCTGTCGTCAAAGGACAGTATAATAACTAGAATATCACAGACGAAGGTGGGGTGAAATGGGGTTTAACGTCGCGTCCAAGATTATTGCACTTATATAGCGACGTGCATGCACGTGTGTGTGTGTGTGTGTGTGTGTGTGTGTGTGTGTGTGTGTGTGGCTGCTTGTACTAGTCCGGACTGATGCCGATTTATAGTGCTAGCTCACTGAGATACCATGCCGCAGTTTGACATGAATACCCCACTCAGACACAGTATACTGACTCCGAGCCGACCAGTCCTTGTTTAAGCCCCTTAATGCCGAGCGCCAGACAGGGTAAAAACAAGTACCATCTTTTAACGTCTTTTGGTATGACACGGTCGGGGATCGAACCCCGGACCTTCCGCTCTATCACAGACGTATGTGAAGCTGGTTTGATAACATATAAAAATAATTAGCATTCAACAACACAATATAAAAGCGGGCTATAGATCACCACCAACTGAAGGCAGATCACCACACTGGGGAACACGGGGACTAACAGTACTTTTGCTACCTACATGGACCCCAGCAGGATTTGCATCGTCCCCTCAGTTGTTTGCGATGGCTGACAAATTGAGCCAAACATTAAAACAACACATATGCTATGATTATAAAACATGGCAGGAATAAATATAATTTGAACAACATGGTCTTACATTCCCCCTCAGAGGGAAGTATCATCATCAAGATCAGTACTGAGTTGCACTGTGGACGAATGCTTTGTACTCTTATCAGGTCCGTTTTAATCAAGTTATGATACGTTCAACAAATTTATAAAAGTATTAATTGTACATCAAATGACATTGTCATCCTAGTACGTGGGATAATTAATTAATTAAAAGACATAACAACGACATTGGATATGACATTGCCTAGGTTCTCCAGAAATATACTTTTTAATGATAAAACCCAACTGAATATTCTACACTGGGATGTCTTGGACCTTTCTTTTGGTATTGTCACATTAAGAAAACGTTTTCGTCCAATCCGTTAATTAAAGCAGTTGTAAAGCCGAAAACGTTGTTTTTGCAGCACCGCAGACAACTGCTTCAGTTGAGGGCCGATCATAATGCTTCTAACTTCACTTCCTATCAGTCATTATCATGCACTTAACGTTTCAATTTTTGAAACTTGTGGTTTCCGAGAAGATTTTGAAAGCCTTTTCAATTTCATTTTAAAACCCAACTGAATTTGAATGCATTAAATGGATTTCAGTCCCATTCAGACAAGACACGATTGCAAGAAGTTTCCGATCATTTCGTCATGCTTTTCGAAAGCAGAAGAAAACAAGTTTAAACATACCCTTTACAGTAGCACAAAAGAAGACGCACAACACTAAGTGACCATTAGAATACAGGGCAGGTGGGCTAAAACAATATATATATACTTCAAATGTTTCACAATTTTACTTCATGGAAAGTTGGCGCATTGCACGAACTAAATTTCATGTTGAATATTCAGCGATTTAAGATGTTACGGAGTACACCGGGAAGTTCTTACAGAGCCCGATTTCAAACGCAT